CTTTCTTGTCCAAAGACAACCAGCAGCAGCCCTTCGGTGGTGTATCCCTCCCTCAGGCCGCAGCTTGACGGAGCCGTATCCATGCAGCGTTCAGATTAGCAACATTTACATATCAGGCTTGGACGGGCCATGCACTGTTTATCTTGTGAAGTATCTAGTAGCTGGTTTACATTTAGTTAATCCGGTTTCTTTTTAAAACATTTTTGGCGACACTGGACTGTGATTGGCTGATTGGGTCCATGGGCCGATGACGACGCGAGTGCTGACGTTTTGAGTTTTGTTTCATTGTCTCCTTGTGTGTTTCTAATTAATAAACAATTAAATGCGACCAGGTTTGTGTTTCTGTCAAACACACACACACAAACAAACCAGCATTTGGAAAAATACATTTATTCACAGAACTGAAACCATTAAACTCTAGAGTCAGAAGCAACAAACACAGTTCACACTTGTTTTGGCAGAGTGGAGACTGAACGGTGAATGTACAGATGTGGGGGAGGGTAAGAGCATCTGTAAAACAGGCACAGTTTACATGTGCAGGTTAAATTATTCTGTGTCGGTAGCAAGGAAGTCACATACGACAGGTCACGTCACGTGACCTCAGTGGCAGAGAGCAGCAAAAGAAATCAGTGATGGTCACAATACACTCCCAGTGATTTACACAAACATCTCGTGTTGAAGACAGCTCGCTTGAGATAAAGACAGAAATCCACTCGTACTTTAGTCTGTGTCCAGATTTTTTTCACCAGTACGTTTCTGCTGTTGGTGTGACACAGTTTAAATGGTGCCCTGTTTCCAGTGGTACCAGAGACGACCTTTTCAGGTGATTTTTCATCTCCATGGTTGAAGCAGAAATTCAAAACCAAAGATATCTGCATGGCTACAGGCCACTAGAGGAAATATGGCTCCTCGTTTCAAAACTGCCACTGTCCCAAGTTTCGCTCGTGTCTGAGCTGAGCCACAGTTCACGCTGACGCAACGGCGGTCCGATGGTCACGTGACGGAGGAACAGGAACAATAAAGACAGAAAAAGATTTTATGTTTAATAAAACCCAGAGGGGAAAAAAAAACAATTACTTCCAGAGTTCTTTCAGCAAAGTTTCACATCTCAAACGTGCTGCGAAAAGATCGTCCATGAACGTCCATGCAGCCGGAGGAGGGGGTGTCATGGCAACAGGCTGTGAACCTGGGGCACTGTGATGGATGACCGAGTTTTAAACAACCACAGAAGGAGTACTTTTTTTTTTTTTTGAAAGTGGAGATAAAGCAACAGACGAAACACTGCCAGGGTGAAGGAAGCAAATAAATAAAAGCCTCTACTTTAACTTCTGCTCTGTGGTCAGTGCGTTCTCGTACCGCGAAGTTAAACCTCGACTCTCCTCCTGGCTGTGTTAACGTACTGCATCATGTTTCACAACTGTTTACACATGTTATTGTTTTATCTTTAATACATTCAAGACACTCAGCATATTCCTCTGTTATAAATCCTCCAACATTGGCAAAGGGGACTTTTCAAATCTGCAAAATAAACATTATAAAACAGTCATTTAACACATGCCCCACAGATTTAATGTCTTTTAAAATACACTTATGTTTACAATAGGTTTTAGTTTATGTGACACATCCACTCGGCACCAGCTCTTACAGAAGAGATGTGTGTGTGTGTGTGTGTGTGTGTGTGTGTGTGACTGCAAACATTGTCCGCTCTGTGTGTCAGTCTGATACGTCTTCACCTACCGAAAGTGTCGGAAGGTTAAAACTGTGTAGCGGCGGTAGTTGGGATCCTTTGTTGGCGGCTCCAGGAAGGGTGAGAGGGGTGAGGAGCAGGTAAGTGCGGGTGACACTGATCCTGAGTCTGACTTGTTCATTTCCTCCTTCGCCCCCTGACACCTAAAGGCAGAGGTGTGTGTGTACTGCGTGTGTGTACTGTATGTACTGTATGTACTGTGTATGTACTGTGTGTGTACTGTGTGTGTTTAATCCGGGCGTCCTCCCTCCGAACTGTGTTGCTGCCGCTTCAGGCCTCCTCCTGCTCGGGGAAGTTGAGGATCTTGCGGTGAGCTTGCCTCAGGTACTGCTGCTGTTTGAAGTACACCTTAAACGCTCCCTTGATGGCCACGAAGGCGATTCCTCCCTGTAGAGTAGAAATGTTTTTAAAAATGTGATTAAAGACACGTTCTGCTTAAAACATTAAAGCCTCCTCAGATCCTTCACTGCAGATATTTCCCCCTCTCTGTCTACTCAGCCTTCTTTTACAAAAGATTCACTCTACATCAATGATCTGTCAGATACCAGAGAACATTGTGAGCAAACAAAAACAATACTCATCATCATTTAATTCTTTCTTCGCTTAAAGTTATTTGACATCTGTTTTATCACCTTATCCAAGTTCTTTCTGAAACACGAGAAAATTTACTGGAAATTGAAACATGCCAGAAATTGAACTGATCTGCAAGGAGGTTGCAAAGTTCTGACTTTGTTCAGTGCCCACATGTGTGGTTTAATGGTTTTTTTCTATATTTGAGTTATATGTTAAAAAGTGTGTTGACATTTAAAGAAAGAATGTTTAATACAGCACCTAGTTAATCTCCAGTGTCAAACGTGATTAACATCTGCAAATGTGCTGTAATTAAAAACAAGCTAAACCTCAACCCACTTTATTTTTCATCTTTTTATAACTCGACTACACAGATCAGTTTATGACTTGACTCTGAGGCCAACAAGTGGTGTTTCCTGCAATGTGACACAGCAGCATGTGTGTCAGTGTATGAGGACACAGTGTTCAGTGGTGTCAGTGCAGCCTGGGTCACATGAGCCTCTCGGGTTACATCTCTGTCCTCACCACCAGGTGAGTGTCGAGGTGGGGCCGACTGCGTGGCACAGTCAACACAAGGTTAAAGGGAGAGTTCACAGAAAAATGAAAATGGACTCATTATCGACTCACTATGCAGATGGAGGGGTGGGTGAAGTGTTTGAGTTCACAAAACACTTTCAGAGTTTCAGGGGTGAATAGTGTAGCAGCTGAATCCAATACAGTTGGAGAAATGAATGACGTATGTTCAGATGTAATAAAACAACAAACACATGGTGTAAATGACGAGTTGAATGTGAATGTCAGGGCGGCAGACACTTGGTTGACACCACATGTTATGTTTTTTCTGCTGTTTTATTACATCTGAAGTCTTTGTCCCCATTTACTTCAGTTGTATTGGATTCTGCTGCAAAGCTGTTCACCCCTGAGACTCCAGGGGGACTCAAACACTTCACCCACCCCTCCACTGGCAAAATGGTGAGTAGATGATGACTGAATTTTCATTTTTCTGTGAACTATCCCTTTAAGTGAAATAACCATGCCTCGCTGCACCTCTGTGTGACAGGTTGGTTGTAATAATTCCAGTGTAAGAAGTTGTGTACCCACCAGGATGGTCCTCTGTAGGTTGGAGTTGACACTGCTGAACATGAGCTTCCCCACAATGGTGGCGATGGTGGGGAAGACCAGGGCGCCGCACAGGATCCGTGTGGCTGACACGTGGTCGGCCAGGGGGCTGGCCTCTGCCGGGATCCGAGGCACTGGACAGCCAATCCCTGCGGAAACACAGAATGAACAGCAGCACTGAGACAGTTGAAAAAACTAATTATTGTTGTTGGTGTGTTTACAATAATTATGAAGCCTCTTTATCCATCACATGACTTTCTATCGGACTCTTGTCATGTTTGCTTTTTGTTCTCTTATACAACTTAGACACTTTCTAAATCTACTACAAATATATATGTGGATTTATGATGATATGAATTTAAAGAGACATTCAAAGCAAAGAGCTCAAGCATAAACAACACAATCAGCCCGAGATGGTATTTATTACATTATTTTAAAATAAGAAGAGACACATTTCCTGGTTTCAACTTGAGTGTGTGTCCTGACCTGGGAAGATGCTGTTGAGGATCTGCAGTTTGTTCGAGTACTTCCTCCACAGACGCAGCACGTAGTCCTCCCAGCGGATCATCTTGCCGAGGATCAGCATGACAGGGATGGTGGGCAGGCCGATGAGTAGGAACAAAGGGTCGGCCCGCTCCATAACATCCAGGCCCTCCTTATGTCCGACCACCTGGACGACAGAGAGCACAGCGTGAACGGAAAACTACAGCGAACGAGGGAAAGTGTGAGTTGCAAAACTACTTTTGAGAAAACTATGATTCCCTTTCCATACAGGTACCGTCAAATCACAACAGTGAAAAAATCTATTATGAACCAAAACCTCTGAGGAGGGATCACTGGTCTGACCTGCATGACGGTGACCGCTCCATATGTGACGGCAGTCCAGTAGATGGAGCCCACCATGATGCCGGCTGCCGCAAAGGGTCCAGCCTTAGAGATGAGCCGGTCGGCCAGGTCCAGCACGTAGACCACTGGACCTAAAGGAAGAGAAATCACTCAGGTAAGAACACATTCAACTTTTATTTCAGAGTTCTTCACATTAGTGTGTGTGAGAATTTTACTTTGACAGTTACATCAACAACCTGTGTCTCCTTCCTGAACAAATACAGAGCTGCAACTATTATCACCTCCACTGTTTTCATCTGTCTGTTAACGCAGGATTAGACCATATCCACTGGACATGAAACTTAGTGGAAAGCCATGGGTCAGGGACGAACCCATTCCATTTTGGTGTGGAGCCTAATCAGGGGGCAGATCCAGAATTTTTTCCCCCGCTTCCTTTAACATTGTGAGATGTGTTTGTTGATATTATCACAGATTTCTCAGAGAATAATTCATGGATCTTGATGAAATAATAAGGCTTGTTAAAGTGACTGATATTTATGTGCAGTGTGTGCATTTTGGTGCAAATCCAAATAAAATACCAGATCTATTGTATTTCAATGTGGTTTCATAAGTGTGGGGCCTTGGTGGAGGCATGTGTTCTTCTGAATGACATTTTAATTTAGATTATTGAGTATTGAGTCCTGATTAATAATTTGTCTCTGAGATGACAAACACTTGAGACATTTGAGTTTCAGCTCTAATAAAGACTTCATTTAATCAACAAAGCTAACATATCTAGCAAAGCTAACCCACTTTTTATTTCAGATTTAAAGTCAATTTATTGTCAAATTGACGGATGTCGAGACTCGTTTACAACCAGCTTTGCAGTTTTGTTGCAGTATCATAAAGATAGCATTACTATTTGCCCTTTTACAATTACACATTCATTGCCCTGGCTTATTAGCCATCATCTGTTCTCTCCAGCTGGGTCTTCTCAGGTCCACTCGGTTATTTCACATAATGTTAAATAGACCTGTAACCCATGGTAATAGAACTGACCTGACCCAGACCTGATGACTGTAAAAACATGGATCTGAATCTGTATTGTTTTTTATATTGATTGATAAAAAGGTTTCAGTTTTAAACACTATAATCTGGGGGAACAAAAGTGCTCAAGAATATTTGGATTTAAGTGACACAGGATCATAATGTCACTTACAGAAGTTTAAATATCTTTATGTAAGTGAACATCTCATCATACTTATGCAACCCTCATGAATAAAAACTGTTTTATGCAAGGGAGCAAATATTTCCTGAAAGACTTGAGGCCTGTGTGCGTGATGATACTGAAGCCAAGTGTGAGGTGCTGTGGGAAACTCACAGACTGGACAATCAGCTAATGACCATGGGGTGTTTGTACAGCAGGGGTCATGAGACTCCCGCTGCTAAATCAAGAAATGCATCCAAACTGAACACATATCGCTCATCAATCGACAAACAGAGAGCGAACAGCCGCTGTTCTTTATGTGACCTGCTCTCTATGTAAAAGTGATTCAGGAAATAAAGCAGCACTGTGAAGTTTCCTTTTCTGTCGAGAGGTAAAATGACCTGTAATCAAATAATAAAGGAACTGAAGACAAGGAAGTGCACACTAAATGATCATCTGATGTGGTTGTTTTCCAGTACAAGGAGAACAATGCATTCAATGAAATGAATGTTTCTTCCTGAAGGTTTTACCAGCATTTGTAGCATGTCAGGTAGGATGCACACCTGGTGTTGTGTTGACAGACCGGGAGGAGTCTCTCGGGCAAGTTCCACCCAGATTAAAAATAGCTGGGGCTGATCCTCCACATGCATGTAATAGGGATTAATCTGCAATAGGAACTCGCCTTGAGCAAAATCAACAACAAAAAAAAAGATGGGCGGAGAAAATTCTCTGCCGTATCCTCATCTCTGACATTCCAGGCTGACTCGAGGGAAATCATGCAATATTTACAGGAAGACAACCTGATTTCCTCACTCAGACAGACCCATCTAAATCCAAGTAATAACCCACCCAGGAGTCAGTGGGTGGAGATTCTACCAGAGGGAGCGGGCACAGAGCTCAGCACTGGGTCTGGATGAGTTGCAGTGGAACAGTCTGTGTTTAAAGGCTCTGAAAACCTAATTTCTGCTCCGCCTTCTTCTCCTACATATGTACACAAACTGTTCTGCCGATGCAGAAACAATCTTTCGTATTTCACATGGGAGATTTCTATAACGGACTGATCAGGAAGCCTCTTAGTTACAGTTTATATACTTGTCAAGGTTTCCATTACTTTCCATTCTCTCATGGCACATGTGCTGTTTACAGTGATAACACTGGCAGCTCTGCTCAATTACATGTAGTTTCATGAGGATTAAGTCCTACATTTCAGAGCACACAAGCTGAAACCCAAGTTATTTTGTGAATTAAAATGACGATTGTCACTAGCAGTTGTTATAAGCTGAAGCTAGCAAGACTATGTTATATTAGATTATGTTTTGTATCAAAAAGAAACATGTAAAATCCTGAATTGAAACTGTCCTGAAAGATCGTTTTCTCTGTAATTTCAGCTCGGAACCACGCATCAAACATGTGTGAAAAAAAAGGTGTGACCTCGAATCTCTAGAAGAACAGCATGAATTCTGCAGCTGAACCACTGTGGTTGTGCCAGCTCTTATCTGTTAACATAGGCGCGGAAATGAAAGCAGGTCGTTCCACAGCCGGTGTGCCCCGGGCGTAATAAAGCTGTGAAGTGGCATTAAAGCAATGCTGAGTCACTGGTCATTATGAAAGCAGGACTTGGTTCAAGAACACCTTCTCCTCAGGCCATGTCAGCAGTGGACTGATATATAATTATCCTATTCATTGAAGCTACAAGGCTGGAGGTCAACCTCGTTGTACAGAAAATTATCACTGAGAGTTGAGCATGTTGAAAGTGTCCTGTCAGGGGGGATTAATGACGGAGGTGCAGAGCCATCTTCAAGTCATTGTGTGCAGTAAATGATTGCCTTAACAACTCAGCAGGTACAAGTTCATAAGCCTGCGTAGGAAACCGAGGCGGTGAGAACAGACAAACATCTACAGCTGCAACATTAGCCTACACATCAAGTGTAAAAAGAGCAGCAGATTTCCAAAATAATTCTGAGGCTCTGTGGTTACTTTGGGGATTGGGGTTTGTACAGTTTGAACATAAGACAGACTTTATTGGGCTGTTTGTACAGCCGGGCCACCGTCAGGCTTTTACCCATAAGTACCTGCCACACGTTGTATACAATGCAGCCACTGTTAGATGCACTCCTATTTCTACAGCTGAGTACATTTGGTCAATAAAAGTTACAAGTTAAGGACTCAGCTCTGCGCAGTATTTTAAGCAGCTCATGCTAAAGGCCTCTCTCTTTTAGACAGCAGCGCTCCAGCCCACTTGAGGAAGGAACCCAAAGCAAGCAAGAAATATTTTGGCACTTTTAAAGCTACTTAAAGGTACAGTGTGTAGAATTTTGTGATCTAGTGTTGAAATTGCATTTTGCAGCTGAACACCCCTCACCCTCTCCTTCCAAACATGAAAAAGAACTTGTGACAGCCTTCAGTTGTCATAAAAACTCAAAAGATGTTTAGTTTGTCCAGTCTGGACTACTGTAAAAAACATGGCGGCCTCCCCCTTAATGTAAATATAAGGTATTTAAATATAAAGGGCCTTTTCTAGTGTAAAGAAAACTACAATTCATACAATTTAGATGAAATGAACTAGTGAAAATATCATGAGGATTATTCTCCATTAAATTTCTGCCAATAGTTTCCTTTCACCTAAATCTTACACACTGGACCTTTAACTCACAAGGGAAATATCACACGTTTGGTTCCTAAGTTGTCATAAACACAGTGGCTCTCTTTTGACTACGGCCAACCTTCGGATGTCTTCTGGAGCTCTGTTTTACTGATCACATTGATCCTGCAACGTCCGAGTGCATTAATAAAGCATATGTTGATGATAACGTTGGAATCTCTTCTGCTGGCTTCCGGCCTAAGCATTACGACATCACAGCTGGAAAGAACTGGGTCGCCCTTAATGGCCACTGGCAAGTCAAGAGAGCTGAGCAAATCATTTCAGCCATTGGCAGCAGATTCCATAATTAAGATAATTAAACAGGAGGGAGGGGGGAAAGCAAAGGAGAGAGGGGAAAAGTGCAACTGCAGTTCTTCCGTAGTAGGCACGCAGGCTGGGACGCTGTTCCAGCTGGCTTGTTTACTCTCTCTAGGTAGAGGGTCCGTAAAGACAGAGCAGCAAGGACACACCGTCCTCAGAGTTATATTGGCAGCCAAATTAGCATGATAGGCTGGCTTTGGCTCTGCAGCAGGTGCTGGTGGGAATACAGCCAGAAAAAAATATATACACTACTTTTTGTGAGCTGCGATATTGCAAGCTTTTGTCCAAAGTCATCAGTCAGTGAAAACAATCAAAACCTAGGTTAATAGAAAGAGTGATCTGTGGCTCCAAATCTACCCCCCCATCTAATCTGGTGGCGGGCAGGGGTCCCAGCCTGGGAGCAAAACGTGAGTAATGCCTGTCAAGCCTGTAGAAATGAGCTGGCCTCAGCAGCTAACCTGAAAAAATAACTACAGTGGCAGATTACCAACACGACTCTCTGTCTTTACCTGTCCAGAGCTTCACCACCATCACCCCAAATTGAAAGCTGTCATCAAAGTGTTGTCACTAAACTGTGAAATTGCTATTATTCTGAGGGCTGATTAAAGCTGGTGCAAAATACCACAGCATGTGAAGCCAAGACAAAAAAACGACAGCATATATACGAAATGGAAATACAAATCTGTGCTTTGAAATATTGGTACAACATCAAACTGACTGAGGATCAGGCAAATTTTATATATATAATATAAAAGTATCGCTGTGTCTGTATGGCCGTAATAAAAGGAGGCACGGCTGGAATAAAAAAAAGGAACACTGCAGCAATGATGCAGCAAAATAGACAATGCTGTACTCCTGCTCACTTTGAAGCACACTAATGCCAAGTGTATCCTGCAGCTAGAGACCAAACTCCTCAGATGTACAGACATAATCTCAGCTAACACGGAGAGAAACTTACTCTTCTGTATATTTAAAAAAGGAATCACATTATTTAACAAGTA